TGATTAAGCCTGTTTACATCACCATACCCATTCAGAGACGAGACAAATAGCTTTGTGTTGAACCACTTTCAAATCAGTTATCAGAAAAACGTACTATAAAGCAAAAGTCATTATTGTTAGAGAAACAAGGTCTGTGCTTCAATGAAAACCTAAACGGCATGCAAACGGTTACATTACATTCCACTGTGTTTAATAATTTTATATGTTTGTGACCACATGCATACGGAAGAGAAGTATTGTTTTACAAGTCAGGGTACCTGAATATGTACCTAAATGCTCGCTTACCTAATGAAATCACATAACCCAAAGGATTTCATAATCAAACTGACACTTTTTGAACGACTGTTAGATAGAGTATTGACATTATCAAATCATTTGACTTGGAGTTATGTGAATAATTAATCTTATTGTGTAAGTCATTTAGAAATGGCTTCAGTATACTCTTCGAATAAATAGACTCAGTACATGTCAAGGTGTATGGTGACACGTATATTCAGTGACTTTTGTAACGACAAAATAAAAACCACATTTTTACTCTGATGTATCACACTTTATATGTAAACACATTTACATTCAATATCTATTGCTTCTCTGTATCAATGTTAAAAAACGGATATTATTGTTTGGTTATATACATATACTGATATACTACCACGTTGGTTGAAATATAAACACACTCTCCGCCGTCTGTTCTTCTGCTTTATTGGCCACGGTCTTTGATTGAAGATTATAATAGTGTTATAACAACCTTTCAGGCCGTCCCACACTACGTTAGATTTTTGGCCCGGATCATTATTAAATAATACTATTGGATTCAATCTTTCTTATTACGACGTTGTTGCCACCACGTGCAGATGAATCTTCGTTAATCAGGTGAACTCATTTGTGGTTGTTATCTTGGAGAGCAGCTTACAAGTAACATTCATTTCATAACAAGTGTTGTCATTTTTTGTTTAATATACCACTTATATTGTAACTGTAATTTGTTGCCTTTTGCTTTACTAATAGACAGAGACTTAGGGTTGTAGTTTCAACTCTTTTTGGTATATTATTGGTAACCTTGCGTATTGTTTTATGCTAAATAAGCTCTTTTACTGGGATCCACCACAGGTGTTTGGGAAGTCCACAATGAGTCTCAGTAAGATATCATGCTTTCTCAAGGATAAAAAAATTTTGATAGACGAACTAAGATATGACTTTTTTATTGACATTTTGGTGTGCATGATAATACCCTATCTAGAAGATGTTCTTTAAGCACCAGTTTGATCATGAAATCCCTCATACTGTCCAAAAATTCAATCTTGTTAACTTTCACATAGTTTTTATCTAAATAAACAAACGGTATAGCAGTGGGATTCCCAGTGTCTCTGATTGTTGATAACTTATTCATATCTCCTATAAAATCGCATATATCTACTAGTGAAATTAGAACACGCATTTAGCACAGATATGTGGGTGATCGAATTTTCATAATTGAAAAGACTTTCTTAAGAAACGTTTGTAAACAGATGAACGCATTCTCAGCTCACATTAGGCTATCAAGTCAAACATTGCCAACCACAAATAAAATACGATACTCTAGGATGTAATACCAGATGTAATCGACCGTAACATCCATGTAGATCATGAATCATATATATACCGCACTAATCTCATTCCGTCCAACAAATATTCTTAAAATCAATCTTCTTGAAAAACCGAAACATTCATACTACTCTCCACTGTAGAATAACGAAAGTTCGTTTGATAAATGCTGATCGAAATCACCTAGTGACATAATATAATGAAGAACGGTGAGTGAACATTTCATCAAATAAAATAAAACTTGTGCAGAAATCTATTTCAATTCAGAATAAACTATTACAAGTCACCTGTTCACAACAATTCGCCATCGTCATATATTTCATTGGAGGCGGACTCAAATATAAACCATCCACTCTCAGCTTCAACTCAAAGTAAAACACCAGTTGTCTCACTAAACAGTTTGCACACAGTAAACATTTTCAACATTCATTACTTGAAAACACGTTAGAATCATATGAACAGACCAAAATGAAATACATGCACAAAACAAACATTCCAGTAAATTAAATGAAACCGAAGAAGCTATGTTCTCAATAACAACACATGGTACAGCCGAACATCACAGAATAGCAACAACGATAACAATATTAATAACAATAATAATAATAATAATAATAATAATAGTAATAATAATAATAATGATAAGGTAGAAATCGCTTCTATTCGTAAACAGATTAGACCAGAAAACAGAATGATTCACATCTGAAATCTAATAAAACAAGTGGGTAACATCTCGTACGTTGATAAGAAAGTTCAGCAATAACATTCTGTTCATATATCTGGGTAGAATAAAATTTATGTGAAGATCATTTGGACCATTTGACCACCTTCCTTTCGTAGACGAATTGATTAATTGGCTCTTTTGAGCCAATCGGTAATGTGGCCAAATAGAACGGTGTATCAGCACCTAAAAACATCAAGAGAAGCACAACATTTTGCCTAAGTGATCAGCTACAAAGACTCACGAGTGATGTAATTTTCCTAACCACCCTATTGACTGCGGTGAACCCAATCCGACATGAAGTTCTTACTGACATACGTCGGCTGGTAAAGGAATAGTACACATTTTTGACGAAAATCGATTCCTCGAATAATCAGAAATAACATTGTAATTACTTACATATGCTTTAATATAAGTTCACATCACTCCTACCTGAGTACATTTTTCACATTCCTTATGAAATCTGATCTCATACCTGACCCTAGCTTATAAAATTGTAATCTCTGTTCAAGTGATTTTATCAATGAAATGTAGAGATGAAACGAGTTTAGTATATCGTGACTTCCATTGTGTGGTTTCACGAAAAACAAACCAGTATCAAATAGGGGTTTATTTGAAAATCTACAGGTATTCGATCACAATGATCACGTACTTCATACCTAAAGTTCAAGGGAATATTCGGGTTTCATGAAAAATCTTGAAAACAATTTTGCAACACAAAGTAAATAAATTCTTTATGAATTTAGACTAAAGATCAAGGAACATTTATGGGATGCTATTAAAGACCGAACATAATTTCTTCTTATTATATTCGACTGCACTTGTTTTAGTGCGCATTTTCCCTTCACGTTACAGTCAATCATCACATTCGACAGTTGAAACCCAAATGCTAGACAATAGTACGCTCTCCTGATGCTCAGCTGTTCCCGAACTCAACAAAATAATGGTCAAATGATTCTGTCAAAACAACTGACTTTTCAGATAATACATATATACAAGGATATAGACTCACCTTCATCCGTTGTCTTCACACCTTTATGGTCAGTCATATCAGTGTCAACAAAACCAGGACAACACTGTCGAAATGATGAAAACGCGAAGATAAAGTATCAGAATCTAATTGAACAAAACTATCAAATGTTATGTTAAGATTAAAACCATTCAGTTCCAAGCAATCACAAACTCTCAAATAATCACTTTAACAATACCACTCACGAAATTAATTACTCTTAGCCTTCAACAACTGAGACAATTACCTTCCCTAGGCACCGACTCAACTATTATAGCAAATACAAACCAAGTTCATGGCACCCTAAACAACCTCGATTATTCCAGTTGAAGTCTAGCTGAAATATTTCTAAGTTACAGTAGGTTTTTAAACCATGGAGCAGTGGAAAATTAGTCACACTCATCCAGTAATGGTGTACCTAATACAGAGATATTGAGATGCCGAAGACATTTCTGGTGAAGCTTGCTTCCAAAAGAGCAGTACTGTAAACAAATTAAAGATAGTTTCAGTGTGAAGAAACGATAATTATTACTATCCAATAAACAATGTGTAGCACTCGAGTGAGGATTTCATTCATTACATGAGCGAATACCTGACATTTCAGTTTACTTTTCAGAGTGAGTTACTTGAAGTATAATGATAAATATGTACGAATATTCGGCAATATTAAACCGAATAGTTTGACAGAAATTTGGCGCCGAGTATAGAGAAGATATTATATGCGAAAATTACATTTGAGATCATCTAAGCGGCTGAAATCTAAATAACTCCAGACAAGTTTACTGGACGAAACGTTGGAATTGTTTAAATTTCAATCACTGAGATTATTTCAAATATAATTTTCAGATACTATGAAAGTAACAACACAATAATACTTAGGTCATTTCAGCATAATTTCCGAGGAAGTGAATCAAAATAACTGTGCTTCCCAATCATTGCAATCAACCGACCATAATTTTAATCAAAATAACTATTCTTAAAAACAGAGTGACTTTCATTCCATTAGGACTGAAAGCATATACCACACCAAGGATCCTACGGCTTAGAAAATTTTAAGTTAATAACAATCGCATATGAATAGTGTGTTGTGTACTACTTTTAGCATACATCAGGACTTGAAAGTAGAGTTTTTACCGACAGAAGGGGAAAATGGAGAGAAGAGAAAGGAAAGCAGAAAACAATCGAAATACCAACAGTCATGAAGGAACGATGAATTTTGTATGGGACAACTTAAGAAAGGTGGACAAATAGTGTATTTTCATATTTTACAAATACAGTGTGTGATCCTGCATAAGACAAACATTTTGTCCACCCTCCAAGAATTTGTTAATTATGATAGGGCTTAAACACAGTTTCTGTCTAATTCTTTCTGATATTCAGTGCAACAACGTAATCTCGCTGAGTGAACGCGGTATAAAGGAGTGGTTAACGGGAAACATGACCTTCAATACTTGCTGTACAACAAAGAACATGTGTCTAACTTTATAACATGAAACAACAAAAACGCCGTATATTCATTATGTACAAAATATAAGTAAATCGAACTACAACTCCGTGCACACACCGCATAATCCAACTGTTACAACAAATACTACTCTTAGTTTTGTTATAAGTCTAATCCTATAATTAAAACGATTTATACAACAGGAAACACAAATCGTCACAATATCGACAAAACAAACTAACCGAATTTATCACAATCCCTCTTGGATCATCTTTCAGCATTTCACCAAAAATAAATGAAGCCTTTGTAAGGCCTATTTTAGATACCGCATACGCACTTGACACCCAACCTTTCTCAGAATAAGTACCATCCTCAGCAGACCTAATAATAAATTCAAAGCAAAAGCAATTATATTTGAGACAAACAGAAAGAACTATATGTTACATGAAACCTTAAACTCCTGTAGTTTCACGAATCTGAAACCAACCATACCACCAAAGAAATTCACAAAAGTAGTATATAAACGCGACACAAATTGTTGCCTTCCAAATTTCAAAGTTATGACTAAACACATTTTGTGTAGAAAAGACACCTCGCAAATTAACTACTTACGTTCCAAAAAATTTAACAATGCCGGAAAACTTTTAGAAAATACATTTCACAACAGCAATCAATTCGAGTTATAAAATTATGGAATCAAATCAAATCGGCTATAGTACTCAACACCAACCTCAATGAAAAAATTAATTTACCTTACAAACTCCGCCATAAGTTCTTTTAGTTCGAAAAGATTCATTTTGCCGACAAATTTTTCGTACAGATCGTCACTAAGTTCCATCAGATTGGACAAAGAAAGAGTAGAAGATACGTTGACGACTCTAAACAGTAGGAACTAATTCTTCTAGCTCACCTGGCATTTTCAGCCAGTAAAGGAATGAACTCTTCCGTGAAATCGACAGTCGAAGTGAAGTTGGTGTTAACAGTGACTCGTGCTTGCTCGCCATGTGACTCTGGAGTGTCAGCCTATAAAGACATATGAGATTTTAAGAACAAAACAACTTTAAATGCAATCCCAGCATTATTCACTGCAATGTTGATTCCATTAGGATAGTTTCTCTCTACAAATGTTAGGAACGCTTTTCGACTATCTCGATCAGTTATATCTAGTTGATGAAATTTAACATCAAGGCCCTTGTTACTGAGCTTCTCCACAGCTTCCTGACCAAGCTCAACATTTCGAGCTGTTAAATTATCAACCAACAACTTCTTACCTGTTAGATAAATATCCCACTCTCCTGATGTCCCATAAAATTCTGCAAGCTTTTCAACAATGGTATATCCAATGCCTTTGTTTGACCCAGTTACCTAAAGAGGAGTAATAAATTTTTTGTAAGATGAGTAAACTCATCATACGAATGCCAGTTTCATGATAGCACCAAAATACGGATAAAATACCGTCGTGTACTGAATCCGTCGACTAGCAAACCTACTGAATGAGAACTAAATGTGTTAAGCAATATGTTGACAATTTATCAGGGCAATATCTGAACACTTCACACGCCTACACTGATTGAATTTCAACTACCAATCATAATGATGCTTGCAATCGGTAGTTTTCTAGTACATGCGATAGAACATCTTTCTGATTGGAAAATACAGAATCATTACCTAAAAAGCTGGCATGAACAACGCGATACAACCAATAATCCCGTTATTCGTTAACCAATAATTTATTAACGATAAGTTGTGTCCTTATTGAATGAGTTGACGCCAATGATCACTCAAATAAAATAAAATAAGTGCTTAATGATGTAATTATTGGTTCAAATGCGCTCGTGTTTGGATCCTTCTGAGCTCTGTGGTGTTAAAACACAGAAACGCGTTTCTATGTATTTGCTCCAGACATTATCCTCTTTTAGTGACTTCTATAAAGAAGCCGAGATTACTTATGTTTAAATAATTGGATCAAATGGAGGCATTGGATATAGCATTGTTGAAAAGCTTGCAGAATTTTATGGGACATCAGGAGAGTGGGATATTTATCTAACAGGTAAGAAGTTGTTAGTTGATCATTTAAAGGCTCGAAATGTTGAGATTGGTCTGAAAGAGGTGGAGAAGCTCGGTAACAAAGGTTTGTTTGTGAAATTCCATCAACTAGATACAACGGAACTTTACCTGTGGCCATTCTAGGGTTAATGCCGATCCCAAACCTGGGTGAAGGAGGAGGATTGAGCATACGGACAACGATCCCATCCCATTGAAATCAACCTTGCTAAAAAGAACGCAGACCAGAATAAGCTATTTAAACCACATAAGCTCTGCTCACCTAGTTGAATAAAAAAATTATGACGCCTCATGATAAAGGCCGTAATTCTTCTTAAGTTATGAGGACGATGCCTCTTCTAACAAGCAGAACAACAATTAATGTAGCTATACAGAATGTCCGGACAATGTGGGATACTGGAATGACCAGTCGAATAGCTACAGAAATGACTAGATTCAACTTGTCCGTGCTCAGAATCAGTGAAACCCGTTGGAACTAAGCTGGACAGAAATGGATAAATTCAGGAGCGGTGCTGCTGTACTCTGGTCATGAAAGACTCAGCACACTCTCCACTTCCAGATCAACATGCTGGATTCCGTAAGGATCGATCATGCACAGACCAAATTGGACACTATGGATCATTGTTGAACGATCACTTGAGTGGAACTCGTTACTATTCATCAACTTTTTTGAACACAAGATGGCATTTGACTGCGTGGATAGGAGAACCTTACGGAGCTGAAACGTGGAGAACTTCCACAACCATAGTCAAAAAGTACACGTTTTTATAAACAATTGTCAACGTATGACACCGAATGTCCGTTGGTCGGGTATCATCAGCAATAGCCTTCTGTGGGAGAGAATAAACTAGTTTCTACCTGTAGAGGAAATTGGGAAACGACGTTGGAAGTGGATAGGTCACACATTGGGGAAATAATCAAACTGCACCACGAAGCAAGAGCTAACTTGGAATCCTGAATAAAAATGGGGAAGAGGAACACCAAAGAACACACTGCACCGAGAATTAGAATCAGACATGAAAAGAATGAATAGCAACTGGAAAGGACTGGAAAGGATTTCCCAGGATAAAGTTGTATGGAGGATGGTGAGGAGAGGCCTACTCTCCTCCACGAGGGGTTACAGGTGTAAGTAAGTAAGCAAGATGTAACGGATCAGGATAGCTGAAAAACGATGCATCGAATGTAGCTAGGCTTCGTATTAAAAATTCACCGGTTTCATAAATACTTAGCAATTATGTAAGTTCTACCTGTGATTATATGGTAAACATATTTTTTTCTAATCCACATCAATAAATGAATTTCCTGTTGATCACTATAAATTATTTTCCTCCTACTTCACATTTTCACTTGTTTTGACCTGACATAGTGTGGAGTGATGAACCACATGCACACATCTCTACTCTCTAATACTCACCACAATCTACCTCGGTTTGAGAAACGTGGTTATCATTTCTAGTCTTTACTTACCGAGGTGACTCGTAAGCCATTGCTGTTATATCATGCGATTTATAAAATTTTTAGATATCTGTATAATATGCATTCTGTATAATGAGATAGAAGTTTGAACATTGTCTTAGTTAATTAAAACTGTTAAATATAATTAAAGTTATTTCTATAGCACAGAGTTTGCTGCTGTAATTTTACGCAACGAACTTAATTTGACACTGTAACTTCTTTGTAACTGGCTGTTCAATAACATCGTTTTAACAACAATTGTTTGAACGTATGCCATTCATTTAATTCACTCACTTCTAAACTGACTAGTTTGAAAATTTCTGCTCTTCATTTGTAGTTTGCTCAACTGAAATCACTGAACATATAGAACTCAGATGCTGATTTTCAACTTTTATCAGGTAAAGCAGCTAATCTGGCTTACCAATGATATCTTCCTATCTAAATGTAGTGAGTGTGAATATAAACATCATATCCTGTGTATACGTTACAGCTTCAAAACCAACTCAACTAAAATGATTTTGACAAAGAGACCTCATTAAAAAGCGAGGAACAGAATCTTTGAGATCATTATGATCCATTTGAAAATGAGTGGTCTCTGTTAAATATCTGTCATTGGATTATAACAACGTAATTGTGTTGAGAGCAACGTTTCAATCCTTGACAGTGTTGAATGGAATTCGAACTAGTCACTCATGGTTCCTATGTAGTTTCCTTCTAATTTCAAAAAAATGTGATTTAAAGTAAAAATAAATTTTATTATATCCAAATGGATTTTTAAATGGCTACATAATTTTCGCATTTGTATCCTAAAAATGAACATGCAGTTGTAATAAAAATGTTTATAAGATATAAGTTCAATTACTGTTCGTAGGACTGAGATTCCTAGGTTTCTAAAGTAAATAAGTAATAAAGTAGGCATTTCTATACACTATATACTCAATTTATATACTATGTGACAAAATAATGTCTTAAATATTCGCTGCTGATGATCACTAATTTTAACGTAATCGAGTGTCTTAGTAACATCATAAATGTTTTTTAAAGACAATGTGCATTATCGATGCAGCAAACAATTTTTGTATTTTGAAATATGCACCGTCGATTCAGAATTCGAGTTTGAGAAGTAATATCACGGTAATTCTCGAACGTACTAAGTTATAAGACGCCGGAAATAACTTATAAGACTTACAATGGACACATAAAGTATTTTGGAAATGCCTAAGAGAATGTCAGTTATTTATATTTTTCTTGAACTTCCCCATATTGTACTTAGTCTGTGCAGTTGAAATGTCATGATAACTAATGATGAGAGATTTAATTCTGAAAAGTTTTAACGAATTCTCACATTTGATTCGGTCCGAGAAAAAAAGAAGTACTGAAAGTTTGTACGTGAAGCAATTATTCACATAAGAAATGCGGTATGATCAACTGACACAATAAAAATGTGAACAATCTCATTAAAACAAATGGGTGATAGGTTAATTGGTTGACTCCTCCAATTACTATTTATTATAAAATTATTCCAGAAAAGATGTGAAAGGTACGATTTCGTGTGAAGTGAAAAATTGGTGACTTTGAATCAGAAACATTCGTGTTGATTTAGTGTTGCCAGACTTTTATATTTATATTCAGCAATAAATCTCTTGATGACAAACTTTAAGGATAAAGTGATACATCGATCCCTATACAACAATCCACTGTTATGTTATTAATAACTGATGTCAGAAGCTGGTTAACATTTTAAGTAATACAAACATACATAATACGAAGAGTTGACTATAATGACTTGTTCAACAAATTATTTCTGATATCAATTATCGTTAGACGTTACATGAAATTGGTTCGAGTGTACATGAACAGTGAACACTGGTTTACATTGTGTTGTGTGTTAATCCGATAGTCACGAGAAATCTATAATTCAGGTCAATTATCTCCTATATATCAATTAACTAATCAATTATGAGGTCATATTCTCACACAACAGTCACTATTAACTAAATCGTGAATGATTGAAATCGAGTGATAAAAGTACAAATCAATATTACCTCTGAACAAGCGAGTTATTTATTTCTATCCTCCTAGTTAGAATTGTTAATTCGCAATAGTATGTTCTTTATAGATAATATGTAAACTTGAGATTTACAATGGGGAGAATACAAAAATACAGTGATACAACTATCTACTAACTAAACAAACAAAACACAAATGATAATAAACTGCAAAATAGTTACAGAAGTTTTAGCATTGCCAGTAAACGCCACACTGTACCAGTATGTTTATTTCATACTTTGATTCTGAGAAAATTCCAGAATTTTGTTATTCCTTCTGATGTCTTCCGATCAATGTTTCTCATGCGGATCTAACAGAGAAGATCTTGCAAATCAATGAAGAACATACTACTGCGAATTAACAATTCTAACTAGGAGGATAGAAATAAATAACTCGCTTGTTCAGAGGTAATATTGATTTGTACTTTTATAACTCGATTCCAATCATGCACGATTTAATTAATAGTGACTGTTGTGTGAGGATATGACCTCATAATTGATTCTTTAACTTAAATAGATAAACTAAAGTACATATTAATATGAGCTGAACTAATTAGTACTTTGTATGATTCTCATTTATTTGAAATATCTAGTCTACTTTTACTGGAGCAATAAAGATTTCAGTTTTTCTGCTTGGTGATATTAACTAATTCAGATTGTGTTGATTATTACTTTTCAGTTACTGTTTTATTCACAAAGCTATACGGACTAATCTAGAGGGTCTGTTATTGACTGAATGAAAAGGGTATGTACTTCTTGTGTTTCTGAATCAATGTAAATGATCACTACGTTTTCATT